CACCTTGTCAGCAAATTCCTGGAGCCACCGCTTCCCCCGAGGGCCAAGGCTATAATAATAGAATAATTCTAGGCCCTATTCGCATCAAACACTCGTTGGGCCAGTCGGACCAAGCAAGGCCACACTTGACACAGAATGTATACCTCCTCCTAGGCTATAAATAAAATGTATGTAGGCATAACCAGCTTTTATTTATACAGTACATCGAAGTTTAATAATTACTGAATAAAAATGGATTTGTATTGGATACCTACAGTGTTAAAAATGTATAGTCTCTTGAAAATGACAAAAAAATCATAAAAATAATTTTGAAATAACTTGCTCATTTTGCAGTAACATAAATTATGAACTTACTGAAAAATATTGAATTTAAAAAATGTGTACCCTGATTTTTAAACTGGATAATTATAATAAAGACAATAAAACACTTCCGGTGACTGGAAGTGTTTCTATCATTTTTCGCTGTAAAATGATGGGTAAACATTTTTTAAATACACTAATTTTTATGTTCAATTTGATAAATTTTATGTTCCTTCAAAAAGGGCGAGTGCCTTATTGCTAGTAGGTGGGTGGGGGTTGTTGGGAGCCGTCAAATTCCCATGGTGGTGTAGGCAATCCCGAAAGCTCCGACGTTTGAAATTTTCAGGAGTCGTATTTTGAATTTAAAGAATGAAAATTCTATGACTAGGTACTAATAATACTCTCTGATGACACACTTGTTTATTAGTGGCACTCGTGAGAACTGTGGAGCATTCAAATACATACACTAAATACGGTAACAAAATACATTGAAATACAGTAAAATACACACTTCACATTAAAATACAATGAAATACATTTAAAAATAACAGACCCTAACATATTAAAATACAGTACAAGACAATAAAAGAGAGATAGTTAATATTATACAAAAGTACGATTCATTCATTAAAATACCTAAAACATTCAGAAATTTCCTTATAATTTAGAAGAACTTAATATAGTTAAAAGAGTTAAGGTTCATCATTCGCATTTGCTAAAAATTTCACTTCTTGTTTCCGTTGCCCTCTTTAATTATGTCCTACAGGAAATAATTATCGAGTAGCAATGTGGGGTATATATTTTACATATAAAATTAAAACTACAAATGGGTTGTTTATTTATTTTGCAGACGATATTATGTCGAACTTAGGATGGCAGTCTCTGGAGGAAATTCAAAATTGCCAATGGGGCCCGTTTTCCCCTAGCTACGCCAGTGTTGAGTATATATTACATCTCTATGTTCGTGGTATGCAAAGATATTATCTTTAATGAATAAGACTTTTGACAATCTTTAGACATGGGAAATTTTGAATCGCCTCTAGAGACTGCAATCCTAGACACAACATTGTCTGCAAAGAATAAACACTGCTGTGAATAGAGCATTATTTGCTAGCTCAATTTTGTATATAAAATACAAATGGGTTGTTATTCTTTGCAGATGATGTTTGTCGAAATAGAAAATGGGCCACATTCTCCCCTAGCTAAACCAGTGTCAAGTAGTTTATGACATCTCTATGTTTGTGGTACGCATACAGTAGATATTATCTTTGCAATCAAGACTTTTGACAAACTTTAGACGTTGGCAATTTTGAATTGCCTCCAGAAACTGCAAACCTATAACGATGTTTGTCGAACTAGGATGGCAGTCTCTGGAGGAAATTTAAAATTGCCAGCGTGGTCCATTCTCTCCTAGCTATGCCAATTTTGAGTAGTTTACATTTGCTAGGTTATTGTTGTAAATAGAAAAATAGCTCGCAGTGGGAGCGTGCCTAATGCCTTATACATGAGTTTTTGTTTTTTAAATTTTATCTTATGTTCTTCAATATGCAAATGTGTGTATTATTGTAGTGTATCTGGATTTTTCATGAAAATTTTCTTTCATAACAATATTCTGGCGAACGTGTGCCGCGTACCTATAATGCGTGTTCGAGTTTCGAACGCAATTTTGTTCGAGTTCCGAATGCTATTCGATTGTCAATAGAGTGCCCCCTACCTCGTGGTAATAGTACCCATCATGCCTAAACCGGATTTACTCTTTTCCGCCATCTTTAATTGCTACATCATGACATAGTGTCTACACCCCCGCCGGGGGCAGTAGACACAAAAATGATGGGTGAAAAAACACAGCCCTGTATAACTCCTTCTGTCACTCAAAGAAATCAGTATCTAATGTCCAAAACTCAACCATACTTTTAACATTTTTATACAAGCTATTTAAGGTCATCCACACTTAACCTCTATACCTACCTCTAGGTAGAACACAGTAATCAATAATTACTCTTCTAAAAACCTAAATGTAATTAAGGGGCCCGCTGGCCATTTTACTTTAAAAAAATATTAATTTGGAAAATATTTTTTATTATTATTTTTAGGTCTATTTATAAATGGGCCACTAATAGCCCTGGGCCCTGGTACTTTGCACTGGCTGCACTGCCCATCCCTACGCCGATCAGCACCTTGAATGCTTCAGTCATTATACACGTCCCCATGGTACGTTAATTGTTAATTACTGTAGCCTTGCACTGGATAGGGACAAAACATGCCCCATCGTTATAATATATCTATGAATAAAGCAACGCTCCCAGCAATGTTTCACTAAAATAAGAGACAAACAACCCAGTTTGTTTTGTAAATAATACAAAAGAGCAATGTATAATACAAGTACTTGATCTTGTTGGGATCAACAAGTCTTTATAGAAGCGGTTGGCACATCGGTTTTGGCTTGGACTCCTAACCTTGAGGTCAGGTGTTCGAAGCTCTCGCTGTGCAATTCGCTTGTGTCCTTGGGTAAGGCACTTTATCTACGTTTGTCTCTCTCTACCCAGGAGTATAAATGGGTACCTGGTAGGATGTTATGGCATTGAATGTTCTAGTTTAGCAAATGACTAGGTATACTCCCCAGGGAGCAGAGAAGTTTGCACTTTGTGCTAGTATGCCATTGTATGTCATCCAGTGACCAGGGGTAATAACGCTCAGCACCTTTGATCATTCGTTGCAATTGGCGCTATATAAATATTTGGGTATTATTTATGATGATTCAATAACACATTTGATGGTAATTATGTGTTGCACTTCCACTTTTACAGTGAATTTAAGGGGTGATTATTCAGGAATACAATTCCATTTTCACCCAAAAAAATAAATGCCAACCCTCGAAATAAAAGACCCACCCCTTCTAATGAATAAATGCCCTGGGGCGTTTATTCAAATAAATACAGTGACACTAACATATGCTAAACGATTTACAAGCAGCATGTCAACTTGGAGAAACTGATACATACATTGGAGTATAGTACATGTTTTATGTAATCTTAATGACATGAGATGAAAGGAAATAGTCTTACAAGCTATATAAAATATTCTATTGGTATTCTTGACAATTTTTAAGAAATACATTATAGTTACCAATGGCAACATGAATCCTCAAGGTTCCATGAAGCACATCATGCTTTACCTTCTCAGATGGTCTCTAATTGCACACTTCCTACACAATTTTAGAACTAGAAAATGGAAGTTTGTTTTACAAACTTATTTTTTTGTTCTATTCAGTCAAGCTCAGTGTGAACACACGTCGTGCGCTTTTATGCGGGCGTGTACTCTTTTGTTTGAATTGGTAGTTAGCGGCGCTTGTTTTTGGTAAAACGCATTGCATTCTTCCTCAATCATTGTTTCAGGTGGTAATCTTCTTTTTTCATCGTTACTTATGTGTCAGGTAGGGGGATTTTTTAGTCGCCAACCTTGCATTATAACATCCCTGTTCCTATTTTGGGGTTATTATGTGCGGTGTTACATCTTTTAGTAGAACTACAACCAGGCCACTCCATTATTGCCAAACATCATTTACTTTAGAACGTTTTGCCGTATGGACACAAAAAAGCTCCTTTTACACAGCGCAATAAAAGCACAGCTTCCCCACGGTGTGATTTTTCTTCGAGAAATCAATCAAACTTACTAATATTGTGGTAACTAGCATAAATTAACTTGATATTGAAATATTAATTATGCACTTGAGCAATTAGTATATTCACACACATACCAAAAACAGTAGACTTATTATCATCTTGTATTGTGCAATGTTTGAAACCACTTTACCAAGCTTCAGTTATAGTGGTAACAAAACTACCAACGACAGTGACAATGACGACATGAATAACAACACAGGCCAAAACAATAGCCTTCCCAGAGCTTCGTTCCTTTTTAGAAGTTAATTAAATAAATGGATTTTATACTTATGATGGAAGAGGATTGGTCAAATTTGCTACAGTACACACAATATCTGAAAAATGTCAGCACCTCAAGGTCCAAAATTATTTGTTGTGTAAAAACTTTTAGAGATGCAACATTGACAGTATTGTTTTTTATTTTGCTTTTTCACTGGCAAATTTTAATTACTCTGTCTCCATTAATCCGTACAAACCTTGTTTCAATAAATAATATTTTTTGCAATCAGTACACCAGTGCTTTACAGTACTATAAATCATTACAATTGAATTATGCTTGATTTGTTATTGATGAAACTAAAATTATATTTTATATAACTTGCAACTTCAAGTTTATTGTTAAGTCATTCATCGGCTTTGATTAAAGGAAATTAATTTTCAAATGAACATATAGTATTAACAGTACAGTAACTCCCAGAACAGAGTTTGTAAGTAAGAAAATTCGTAATCCAGAGAATTTTCAAAGCATCTTAGTGTGGTGTAGTACAGCTCTGAGTCTTAAGACAAGAGGTACAGGTCGTTTTTGTTTTTGTGTATTCCACCTATTTTTTCTACGTAACCAATGATACAGGACTCTAGTCAAATAGTCAAAACTTGATATTGAGTTTTTGTTGGCTAACAGAAAAGATTTGTATTGTTGAAGTACAATGACAATGTTGTCTAAATTTTAAGTATTTGTCGCCCTCTACAGTACATTTTGTAATGCTGCTCACACACATAAGATAAGCAACACAGCTACTGTAAATTTCATTTTTGCAGTGACTGGGGACACTTCAGTACCTACAGACTCTAGTTTGAAGTAACAGTAGAAAGGCAAATTCAGGTAACTATTTTAATTATTACTGTAGGTCAAAAAAAAAATTGTTATGTTGCCCTTAAATGGGAAAAAATGTGACCATCGGTAAGTCGGTCAGATTTTTTTTTTTTTTTTTTCCTTATTTTTAGTAATACCTGAAACAGGATAGGCTTCAAACTGCAGTACCTATTATGAAAATCCTAGGCCTAAGGCTTGCCAAACAAAAATTATTCAAAGTAATGATGGAATAAACACTAACCAAGTGTATATTGAAATATTTAATTCATTAAAATAAATCAGTTTAAAGAGAGATATATTTGGCTTTGAAACGTAAAGTAATTTGTATATCCGCCACACGATCACGCATAGGTAGGTCTAGAAAAACCATACTATGGCTATGAAAATTTTCCAAACAAGTGCCAAAAATATATATATTTTGTTATGAGAAAAAAAAATATATATATTTTGTTCATGGTTGGCCTAAAACTGTAACAGGGCCTAAAATGTCTAGCTATGTACCAGCTTTAAAGCGATGGCTAGACTTAAGCCTGTTTTTATTTATTGTCCAATATACCGTAAAGTAATGCACAAGCAACCACAAGTTGTACAGTAGTAAAGAATAGGCTAGGCCTAGATTTGGTCGTGGCTTGAACGCTTGGTGCGAGAGATCCGATGTTGCGTGCATACATCGTTGTCGCCGTCACGTTCGGTTCTCAAAATTATGCCTCCTATTTGATTTTTCATGCATTTATGGCCCGATTTTGGTAAAAATACATGTTTGTTTTAGATTTTATGTTCTAAATGTTAATTTTGGAAGTGGTATTTCTCAAATTTGTACTTGAGTAAAAGGAAGACCTTTGAACAAAATTTTTTTTTAATGATTTTTTTTTTTTTTTAATTTTTTGTCAGTCGCGGAGGGCAACACAACATACTTTTTTTTTGGTCCTTATATCTTGTAACAGATCTACTGTAAATGTATAAACGGTCTTTATTATTATCTATAAAATCATGCAATATAGCAGCCGAAGCTAGATTACTAAAAAAATTTTAACTTTTATAAACACATAAGTTTAGCTTATTACACATATTTACTCTAATAAGGTATCCTGCTAAAACTGCATTTTTTGATAACATTTTTATAACCATTTATCTTTAAGAATACGAGTATCGGTAAAACAATAAAAACAATGGTGATTTAATAAACCTAAATAGATTGAATTATTAAGGCAGAAAGAAGCATCTAGGTTTTTCAGTTAGTTTGTTTACCAGTCTCTCTCAAATGACATACAGAATTGTCTCATTGACTCATACATCTGTTGTAAAATAATTTTATGTCATTAATAGAGGGATTTGGGGATGATTATTTACAGGTGGTCACGTGACCTAACTTGGGTATACATGAAAAACACTACAGTGCGATAGCATAGGAAAGGATAATGTTATGGTTGTGAAAACAACCACCCACTGTCGACGTGAGATGTAAATGGCTAGGAAAGGTGGTACGATTGTTCAAAATAGTGTTTATTTACTTATCCTAGCATTCTCCTTGGATTGTATGCTGTGAAATTTAAGTGACCCTCCATAAACCTATAGCTGGCCCTAGCATCGCAGCGTAGTTTGCGGGTCGAAGACCATCATGCCATACATGTGCAGGGGTCTAGCCCTAACATTTGTCAAAAAAATCTCAATGTTGGCAGCCACTATTCTTTACAGAATTAGCAAACCATTAAAGCAAAATTCTTAAGTTTAATTTCCAATCAATTTGCTATAGTTTACTGGGAATTATGATGATCTTTACAGCAATAACAAGAAACGACCGCCATAACAATCTCCATTTAAAACACCGCTGTGCTAGTCGACTGTTTATATCCAACAACAATGCCTATCGCTAAATCCCTCTATTACTATTAACAAAACTCTCTAAATTTTAGGTATTTGCCACTCTCTACATTTTGTAAATTTTTCAGTTGATCACACAACAACTCTAAACTCCATTTTTGCCGTGACTGGGCACATTTCAGTACCAGCAGACTTTAGCTCGAAGTACAGTTAGACAGAGAAATTCAGGTAACTATTTGAATTATTACGATTTCGTAGTATTAATAGGTCCATTATAATCAATAGTGTCTGGTAAGTAATGACAGGCGCCTAAACTGAATAAATTATTCCAAGCAAACTCCACAGGGAAATACTGTATTATATGATCTACAAATTTATATAAGATAAACTGAATATGACATACTAATTCATTACCACTGTTGATTATTGCACTAATATTACTTAAATATTGATAACTAATATAAATACATTATAATTATAAAGGAAATTTTTTCCTTCACGCAAGGCAAGCCAACTAGATGGCAAATAATACAAAACTCAATCTAGATAAAGTATAGATAATTACAATAAGTGATGGTACTGTAAACCATTTTGGTGTTCTAATGGCAAAAGATATGGCACGTTCAGACGAGTCAGAAGTAAGCTTTACAGTAACAGTTTACTTGTCGTAAGCCCTAGGTAGTCCACTCTTTGTATTAGGTCACTAGAATGTTACTACAGACAATTTACTCCTGAGAGTCTTAGAAGTAAGTGTGCTACTTCCGCATACACAAGAAAGATAAGGAATATGCGATCAGAGTAGTGCCGTGTAAATGCACTTTCTTCTGAGCTCGCAAGTAAATACGACCTTTATTGTGACCTCAAAATTTTTCAAAAGATAAATACCTACAAATGAGTGCCAAAATAACATTTAATGTGATGCGTAAACTAAGTTATAAACATGATGTTTTCATAATTGTTTACAATTTCAAGAAATTGTGTGCAAATAACCTGTCGAGAGACAAGGAAATTGGTGATTATCACTTCCGTTTGTCGTAACTTTCCTTCAGGTGGAAAGCCGTTTGAGCATAACTTATATCTATCAACTACCTATTGAAACAATGATGGTACTTAACATGAAGTTAAGATTGTCTAGACTGATTTGAATTGGCCTAAAAAAAATTGGCCTAAAAAAAAAAAGAGACAAAAAAAAAGTAAAATAAAAATTAAAAAATTAAAAAATAACAGAAAAAAAAAGCTAATACTTCATCAATATACAATTTTCAACAGAAGTTATATGCTCTTATATTTTTTAATTACATTTTTATGCTTTTGCTATACTTCAGACTAACATGAACAATTTAAATTTGTCTATGTTAATATTTAAATCAAAGTTGATGTAAACAAATAGGTAATTGAAACAGTTCTTAAATATAAAATAAACAAAAACAATGTTATGATCATATCAAGAATAGCCCTTCAAGGAAATGTTCCTTATCAGTTGTCTGAAAAAATGCTTCTGGAGGAATTCCAACCAGCAACCTTTAGCTTTCATCCATAGTTCCTATATTTGACTACTATTTCTATCACTTACCAATTAGTTTACATGTAAACATAAATATATATGCAAGCATAATATGAAATTCGAATTTAATGTATAGCACACATGACCAACTACACATGCATGTATGTATGTATTTATGACCAAAAAAGATGGCTTAAATGCTTTGATTGAAGAATTATAAGAGTCTGCACCACCCTAAACTTGTATGATTATTTTATTTTACCTTTCATTTCTGTCACTGTGAATTATTAAAAATATGTTTTGGTTCAATAAAAGTCAAAACTATGTTTGTGTTTGTATACATGTATCTATGTACATACAAGAAAATGTATGCCTCATGGCCCTAATTTTGGATTACCGTATATTCCGGTGTATAAACCGCACATGTGTATAAGCTGCACCCCAAATTAGGACGCGAAATATCACAATTTTTTGTCACCTGTGCATAAGCCGCACCGATTTTTAAGCTCCAAACCGTTCCCATAATGTTAAGTTTTTAATTATTTTGAAACATTGTCATTATTTACAAATGTTGTTCACATAAAGAAATTTCATCTTTTTGGGCCGATTATTAAACAAAAACTGGAAATGCTTGTAAACTTCTGGCTACTGCAATGAAACAACATATTCTTGCTCTAGGCAGCTCTAGGGAAATCCACATTTCTTGCTAGACGGTCGTGCTGCGTTAAATTTTCAACATCAGTTTAGTTTAAGTTTAATAAAATCTAATAAAATAAAATACTTATTGAGTATATTTATCTATTTTAATTAATCATTCTATTATTGTGGGGAGTAACAGTCGGTATTAAGCTAAAAAAACAGAAAAAACAAAAAAAACAAAAACAGAACCTAACCTAGACAGGTGGCGCCTGATTTTCGCCATGGCTCACGATCTGAAATTATTGGGAGTAGGTTAATGACTGGTGTATAGGCCACACCCCAAATTTTGGGGGGGGGGGGGGAAATATTTATGTATTAGGGCCTGGGCAAACGCCACCAGATCATTCATGCGTATGATTTCCCACATCAAAGTTGGTGTGGGATATCGCATGCAAGACTGATTTTGTAAATCATGTGACTGGCTTATTTCTTGCATGTTAATTAATCTTGGTACATTTTCAAAATTCAAGATGCGGATGTCTCGACCAGGACTAAGCTAGACCAGATCCCTTCTGCCTACCTACTTCAATAGAGGGATTCGGTGATGGGCGTCACATGACCTAACTTTGGTGTTAGATATAAACAATCGACTGGCACAGCAATGTTTTACATGCAGATTGATATGGCAGTCGTCCCTTGTTATTGCTGTAAAGATCATCCTAATTCCCAGTAAACTATACCAAATTGATTGGAATTTTGCCTTACTGTTTGCTAATGCTGTAAAAAAATACTGGCCGCGAACGTTGAGATTTTTCAACAAATGTTAGGCCTAGGCCGCACATTTATTGCATGGTTAGGTATGCATGATGGTCTTCAACCTGCAAACTACGCTGCGATGTTAGGGCCAGCTAAGGTTTATGAAGGATCACTTAAAATTCAAAGCATACAATCCAAGGAGAATGCTAGGATAAGTAAATAAACACTATTTTATTGCCTTTCCTAGCCATTTACTTCTCACATTAACAGTGGGTGGTTGTTTTCGCAACCATAACAATGTCTTTTCCTATGCCATCGCACTGTAATGTTTTTCATGTATACCCAAGTTAGGTCACGTGACCACCTGTAAACAATCATCGCCGAATCCCTCTATTAACTCTTTGACTGCCAGGCCATTTTAGTGATAGCAATGCTCTCTGCCAGACATTTTAGCCTATATGACCAATTTTCCAGTTCACATTGAGAACACATGTATATACAAATATGGAATATTCTTTACACCAAAATAAAGAGTAATTCATGAGCTTTCAAATGATATACATTTTATTCATACAATAAACTATTGCAACACAATTTTGAATAGTATTTCATTTCATTTATTTATTTTCCAAATTATAACAAATAACACAAACCTAGCACTATTCTGGCGGATTGTCAAAAAACAAACAAATTCACTATGTAAAGACTCTCCAACAAACTGGGTTAATTAAAATAAAAAGCAGACAAATAAACACATAACTTATTGCAATTTCACTCTTTTCAGGCAATAAAGCTGAGAAAACAGCATTTTTAGTTTCACAACTCCTAACCACTAAAAATCAACAACTAAACACAATAATCAGACTTTTTATCCCCTTTAGTGTATTAGTTATTTATACATACATGGATCTAACATAATAAAATTATAAATCCCATGCATAGATGAGGTCCACTGAGCCCCTGGGGTAGGGTTGGCTACCCCCCACTCTCAAAACAACTAAAGGTGTGAATATTGCCTATTTTCATTGCTTTGTTAGATAAACACATATTGATAAACATGAAATATAAAAAAAACTGGTGTAATTGCACACGACTTTGTACACATACCCACCACTGAGCCCTGGGGTAGGGTTGGCTACCCCCACCCTCACCCTCGTCCAAACAACTAAAAGTGTGAATATTGCCTATTGTCATTGCTTTGTTAGATATATACATATTAGTATTGCTTAAAGGTTTGCATGGCGAAGAAATAATATATATTGAAGCTTGCGGTACACCACGTAAGTAGTTCTGAAAAGAACTGTTGTTGTTGAGAAAGTCTCGACATTTCGATTGAGATGCTTCAATCGTCTTCAGGAGAATAATATCTGCAGACACTCCAAACAGGGAAATACTTATATGTTTGGGTAGAGAGGCTGGATGGTGGTAAAATGACCAATGGGTGAAAGGCTAAAACACAAGCTGGATGGTGATTGGATGGATAAACTGACCAATGAGAAGACTGCTAGTGAGAGGCTAAATCAAAAGCCATCGTTCACAAAAACAAAACAAAAGGGTGGGAACGCCTAAACAAAGGCATGGTTCCAGGGCAGGAAAGTGGGTGGGAACGACCAAAAACAAAGGCACAGTTCCAGAAGGCGGGAAATGGTGGGGCTTCGCTAGGTCCGATTAAACATGGACAGCCAAATATCACTAATGACAAATCCAATGTCTTGATGTACAGTATTGTGTTTGTGAATTTCGATGGCTTCTCTAGTCCTTCTGGAGTGCCAAGATGGTACGGTGGCTATTAGTTCGGCTTTGTCCCAATGTACACGGTGTTGTTGACTGTGGGAATGCATGACTATAGAAGATTTTTCTTGTTCCCCTCTCCTGGCATGGCCTTGGTGTTCCTTGAGCCTAGTGCGGAGATCTCGTCCTGTTTCACCAATGTAAACCTTCCCACATTTGCACGGGATCCGATAAACTCCTGGTTGACTCTGTGCTGGTGGTTTGTCCTTGTGTGTTTGTAGAGTTCGGGATAGTTTGTTGGGTGCGCTATGAAACACTTTGACATCGGCTTGTAATAGAATGCGTTGAATGCGGTGTGAAAGCTGTCCCAAATATGGTAAACACACAGACTTTCTTGATTCTGCATTATCTAGCCTATTGCTGGGTCTGGGTGTAGCAATGTCTCTCGTGTGATAACCATTAAGTTTAAGGGCTGCCTTAATATGTTGCACTTCTTTCCGGATGGAGTTGTGGTCGCTGATGCAATGCTTTTCTGATGAGTGTGTTACAAACTCCCTTCTTGGTGTACGGATGGTGAAACGATATACATATTGATAAAAATGAAATATAAAGACACTGATGTAATTGCACACGACCTTGTACACATACCCACCACTGAGCCCTGGGGTAGAGTTGGCTACCCCCTCCCCAAACAACTAAAAATTTGACTGAATATTACATATTTTCATTGCTAGGCCTAAGTCTAGGCCTACACACGCTACTATTTAGGTCTAGGCCTGCCGACTTCACTAATGCAGTCAGTACTTTTATATATTTCTGTAAATCTGTACTCAATATATTACATAAAATATTGTATCACTTTAGACATATGCAAGGTTTGGGCTAAGAATGGGCTAAATTACCGAAGAAGGCTAGGCCTAGCTAACATAACGCGCATCGGCCACCAAGCCTGACTGTTGTGCACATGTTATTGTTGACGGACAGCCTCAACAAATATCAATCAAAACTCTTGTTTTATCTCGTTTATTGGTAAATGTACAAGAAAATAAAAACACAATAAGACATGTACATACATTTTGTAGAGGGCGCCTTCGAATCGAATAACACGTACTGAATTTTGTCTATACATTGCTGTAAAATTTTCTTTAAATATCCTGTTTAATCTCTGCCATCGGCCTTTATTAACGTAAAGTACTGTCTTATTGTAACTTTTTCATACGAAGTATTTTGTTACATATACCACATTTGGCGAGTTTTGAGGCTATTATGGGGCCACCCATACAGCCGATGGAGTTGAGGGGAAAGGGCAAGGCTAAGCCCTGTCTCTTATACACATCTAGATGTGTATAAGAGACAGGACATACACAGTGCCTACATAGGCAAAAAGACTAATATATAATAATAATAATAATAAATAATAATAATAATAATAATAATAATAATAATTTTATTATTATTATTATTATTATTATCATTATTATTATTATTATTAGGCAAAGTGCCAAACCAACCAACCGTGCTAAAATGTCTAGCGTCCTCACTACCTATATTGGCCAACATATTTTGCATTTGCAACATTATCCAAATAAATATCAGTGGCGTATCTGGGGATTATTGAGCCCTCCCCTTCAGAGGTTTAAAAAAAAATAAAAAGTGGCACTTTTTAAATGTTAAATCAAGAAATATTTCCTATAAAAAAATTCTGCAACTTCTGTAGCTTATTTAATTTGTGTATACAGCTACTTCTAAATTTATCCTATGTGTAAATTTTGTTATCGTATTTAAGTTAGCTGTTTAAATAAATAAATCTGTAACGGTATTTTCCTATAGATCAATAAATATAGCCCTATGC